AATTATCGGTATTAAAATTACCGATAATTATTTAGTTTAATTTAAAAATCATTCTTCATACTTATACTTTAATATTATAAATGCAAAAGTTTAGATGGATGGATGATTGTTAGAGTTTGTAGCCTAAACGGCTGACCGGATTTCGTTGAAATTTGGTATAGATGTAGAGGATACTCTGTAAAAGACATAGGCTACTCACTTTTATGTTTATTAATTCCACGCTGACGGAGTCGCGGGCGAAAGCTAGTTATTAATATAACAGTTTTATTTACATGATATTGTAGATATATAAGAACTAGTGTATGGATTTGTAATAATTTTTATTAAAGTCTGTAAATATTAACATTTCTCTAATATTACATGGATTTATAAAAAAAACTTTATTCAAAACTATGAGCTATGTTGCTTAAGTGTAATAAGAACAAAATAAAATTTGCTGAGAGACTTCCATTTATCATTTTCGGCCGTCATCCATCAAAATGATTGCCTAAACAAAATCACGCTGATACAAAATGAAAAGATAGGAACAAAAAAGTATGCTTCCAATTAATAACACTTTTTTGTTTCATGTTTGCTTTAAGAAAGTATTAAAAATACATAATAACTTCTAAACGCCATTTAGTTTGCGCAAAAAAAAGTGTTACATTTGATAGCTTATATACCTTTTACCATCCATACATTAATATAACGCGTTTCAATATCGAGCATATAGTCGACAATTAAAAAAAAATGTTTGAATGCACCACAAAATTTAAATGCGTTTTACAATCTACAGACAATTTTTTTTATGATACCAACCTGTTTATCGATGTGCCAAGATCTGAAACAAATAGAAAAAATAAGAAATCGTAATCAAAAATGTTAGTAGCTAATCAAAAAGGTAAGTAAACGGTGAATTAAACTGTACTTTAAACCATATTGGATGTTAAAACTTAAAACATGACCATTACGTTGAGATATTTTCTCATCTGTGCATGCTCATAAATTAGTTCATATGTGCTGCGCTTGAGAATGAACGTTGTTTTTTTATTCCGTTGTTTTCAAACCAAATAAGTAACGAGTGTAATAGAGCTTTGGATAAATGAAAAGAAAACAATTCATAATTTACAAACATCTTTATATTATTCTTACATTTACCGTTACAAATTAGCTTTTGCTTTCTAAGAAAACATCTTCGACCTTGAATTATTTGTTTGAGATGAAAAAGGATTGTTTTATTTATGCCGTTATATTTTCCATCGCACAAAGATCTTATTGTATTACAAAATATTTTTTATTTTGCTCATTAGACTTAAGCAAGTCTTTGCAAATAGGATTATAATGAAGTAAAATATAAAAAAAAAATGCTGTAAGAGTATAAGATTCTATGAATCTTATTTGTATACATTTTGTTTTTATTCATAAAATATTACTCGTAAATTATATCTCAATTTTAATTATTACCACCCCTTTTTTTACTACTACTAACTTTATCGAAATATTTCGATTTATATAAAACAATAAACTCCGATCCATTTATTCCAGATAAGAATTACTGCAGACAAATCAGATATTTTGTATTATATTTCTTGTTTATTTTATTGCTCTTCCGTAAATGCGTAAAATTTTTCAAAAGCCATTAGTTGAATTTTGTTCCTATTAAAGTGAAAACATTTCCCAAATTCCAGTAGCAATATCAACTGTAGAAGCTGTAGAATTCATGGGGCAATTCGAAACATTTGAACAGCAATGCGCTAAAAGCAGTTCAGTCTAGTAAATGTTAATTATATACATGAAAACATTGTACACATAGGATAGTGAAACACATGTTTACTCTCTTCTATTTTTTTAAATGTCACCAAATTTATAAATTGTGTGTGTAGATGGATGTTTGTTAGAGTTTACCTAAACGGCAGAACGGAAAATTTAAAATATGATACATGTAGAGCAAAATCTGGGTATCGTATGCGATAACTAGTATTAATTAAACATAGTAAAGAATTGTGGCCTTTGATATATAGATAGTTTGTTTATTTTAATATATAGAATCTTAGTAAGTTAAGTTTGATGAAGGTAATGTAGATTGGTAAAATGAAAGTTTACCTAGAATTATCCACCTATAAAACAGGACAGCGACAAGAAATCTTCACTAGGTGGAAAACTAGAGTAGTTCTATTCAACGTTTGTTGTCGTTAGTGAGTGTGCGACATAAGTGCACTTTAAACCACAGACACCTTGGGGACTGTATTAACTATTTGTTTTAAAAACACTTTATTTTGCCGACTTTTATTAAGGAATTTTAACAGAATTTTATAAAAAAAGTATTATGTTTATAAAGAATTTATTTTCTTGTATCCAGATAAAAATCAATTGTTTATTTCTGTGATGTTTCTTTTAAAATTAACTGATGTTTTTTTTTAGTTTTTAATTTTCGTATTTAATAAATTAAGTTTGACTCTACACAATTTTATTAACTAAAATTATTCAACATTTTTACAATAAAAATTTATAATACAATTTTAAAGTAAAATAAAGTATACTGTATACTGAATTAAGAAAATGTCGGAGGGTTTTATTTTATTCCAATGTTTATTTATTTAATGCGATTTTAAAAATGATAGCATCGTAGAAACTATTAGGTTGCTTTCTAAAAGGCCACCGCAGCGCCCGCATTTTGCTTTTCACACAAATTATACGACACCGGTCCAATGTTTTTCTTCCTTTTAGCAAATCTTTTAATTAAATCTTTGTATTGTAGTACTATGAAGACTACAATTTAATTTCTAAGTTAATATTAACCACATTTACTAACATTTTATCTAGACTAGAATCCAGAGTTTGCCAAAAATGATTAAAGCTGCACAACTTTGAATCCTTAAAGCCTAGTTTGAACTTTTCAATTTTGTAAGTAAAATGTATTTGAGCAACAAAAATTTAGTCGAGTAGCAAATCGTATAGACGAGTGCCTTAGCTACTAAATTATTCGGCACTCGACCAACTTACTAGCCCAGTGTAAACGATTCATAATAGGATATTAGTTAAATTGTATTATGTCAATAAATTTAGGACTACAGATTTATATATCCTGTATAATGTTTTAAAACTTCGTACGTTTTGTAAACATTTCTTCATGTCTGATGTTGGATTGATAGAGACTTTAAAATTGGAGTAAATCAAAAACACTGTGATCGCCGATGCGCCTGATGTTTACGTTGCAGCAATATTAATTTCGGAATCATTTGTATGCGGCTTAACGCAATAATTAATATCGAATTAATTTCTGTCATAACAAAATACATTCGCGTGGTATAACCTAATTATTGCAGAAATAAACGAAGATCGAATGACGGTTCCCATTAAGTCCGTAAGCGTGGGTTTTTACTGCAGGATAGACTCATAATTACGCACTATAAAAACATGCAAAGTACAAATTTGAACAGATAATTTTGTTCCACATGTGACTATATGAATAGCTCTTTTAAAAGTGTTAATGCTCTGATTTTTTAATAGGAAAAATAGTTTGATGTGCAATTAACGTGTTATCGCAAATTCAAAGAGTGCGGGTTAAAGCATTTGAGACTTCAGCGGTGGTAATTGCTTTGGACCAGATTAAGCAAAATGCAGTGTGGCTCAGCGGTTTGTAGTTTAGGATTTTAGAACGTTTTAGTTTGTATGAACATGCTGTTTTCGAGTTAATTAATTTGTTGGTTGCTTGTTACTTAAGTAGTGGGTTTCATAAACATGTTATTTGGCTTGAATAATTAAGTAGATAAGGGCGTTATATCTTACTAACCTTCTTAATATTATAAATGCGTAAGTTAAGAAGAATTACAGCTTGTAGGAAAAACTGCTGAACGGATCTTGATGAAATTTGGCATAGATGTAGAGGATAGTCTGTAAGAACTCACCGGCTTCTTACTATTTTTTTTACTTCCACGTGGACGGAGTCGAGGACGTCGAGGAGGTCGAGGAGGACGGAGTCGAGGGCGAAAGCTTATTAGAATTAATTAAATGTTTAAGATGACCAAGAAGTAACAAACAGAAGGACGGATAAGTTACAGCAAGTCAATATGCCAATTTCAATGTAGTAAGGATACATTTAAAGTTTGCTTTGCGCCGAAAATGACAAACGATGCGCTTCCTGATGTGTTCCTTCATTAACAGCGACGTTGATTTATTGCCGGAGCTATGAAGAAATTCAAGTAGGAACCTCATTTGTCATCGGCTGAATTTATGAGGGACCAACTAAAACGTTTTTGAATTTATTAACAGATATTCAAAGTTATGGCACCGATATTACGTGACTATGATATTAAAAAACATACTATGGTACTAGAAGTTGGTAGAATACTAAAGGATACTAGAATAGACTAGAAGAGAAGATAATAGAAACAGAAGAGATAAAGAACAGAGACGTTACGAAGTACAATACAATCAATATTTGTAAAGCTTTCTACATTTTAAGTTTTATCGATTTAATAATAGCTGAGGGTTTTTCTTTGACATCGAAAACCGTTTACAACGACAAAGGTATTTTGCGGAAATCGTAACGGAAACATCTTACCGTCTTATAAAACATTTTCTCTTTGTAAATGATACCTTTCTTGGAGATTGTTACACAATTTTATTTTCAATTTCTTTAAAAGATTTTGTTAAACGTAATTTGATAATAGTATAATTGAAATTGATGGGATTGTGATATCGATACAAAAGTACCTTAAGTCGTGTTAATTTTATTGAATCATTCTATGTATTATAACGTATTAATTTGCAGAATTACCCTAGAAGTACCTTTATGGATAATACAGTAGACTATTGCGTCGATATTGAATTATGGATGCATTAGGGTTGAAATGGATCCCGTCGGCTAATGGCTGTGCAATTTACAGCCATCTAATGTAGGCATGATTAAGACTCCTTGGTACTAAATTAGTCTATAGCGAAATTTGCAAAATACTTGTTATGATAAATTTGATACTGCCCTAAATACGGGAATGATACATGCTACTATTAAAACTTGGTTTAGCCGTCACATCAGAATTGACTTTTTTGTTTATGAGTACACATAGATACGGAAAACATTATCCTTCTATCGGGTGGAAAAAGAAAAGGAATTTTATTTCGTCTTTTGTTTTCTACGTGTTTTGGTTTACAAAAAATTATACGAGTATAATCTAAACACTTTCTAACTCTATAGAAAAGTTACTAGGTTATTACTAGATTACTTTTTAGTAATAATATAAATGCGATAGTTTAGATGTATGGTTGTTAGTAGTTATCTCGTAAACTGAACGGTTATCGATGAAAATTGATATAAAAATATAGCATAGGCTGGAAGAACACACAGACATACTAAGATCATTTAAGTCAGGCAAAACTTAGAATGACATTTATGGGCAACTTTCGATAATTACGTTCACCATTTAAAAAGGAATGTTTAAAAATGAAAGTAGTACGTATTAGGAATGTAGATCTTGTGATACGAGAACGGCTTGGAATCCATCGCGTAAGTTTTTCTTAAGAAGTTGCACAACTAGTTCGTTTTAAACTGTTTTACTTGTAGAAAAATCAGTATTTTACAATATAATAAATATTACGTACGTTCGGAATAGGTGCACCTTTTATGAACTGAATATGTTTTAAGCCTAAATAAATGAAATTTTAAATTATTTAGTAACGTTTGCCCTACGGGTTTCAACTTTTTGATAACTAAAGTTTGTTGGTGCCATGTTGTTAATACTAATACATTAAAAAACTTTTACTAGGCTTTTACTTTGACGGACACTGAAGGCTTTTACTTACTCGTCATTCTTTTTACATAAGATCATACGATTTATTTGA